TATGACAACATTTCTGGGGAAAAGAAACACGCTTGTCTACCCACCGCACATAGGGAGCCTGCATCAGACCAAAGATACCAAAGACCCAACGTGGTGAGCCCTGAGGTGTACAGGGTCGCTTACAGGAATATGTGGGAGGGCTTCCCGGAGCAGGAGCAGAAATGACTCACAGACAGCTGCTTCAGTAAGGCCTGCCCACCCCAGCATGAGCAACCGCCCAAAGAGCTGGGAACCCAGAGCGCACTGCGCAGCCTGCAGGTCGGATCGCGTCCTTCCCAGGTGCCTCAGCTGGTCTGCACCTCTTCAGGCAGTTCTTGTTGTCTGAGAGTCTTTGCAGTTTTCCCCTCCGGGAGTCTACACTCTCTGCTTTATTGTTGGCCGGTCAGGGTCAGTGAGTTCTTGAGACTGCTTGTTGTTGGCCTTCCTGCAGGACGGAATGCCTCTCATCTCAGAGGAGTCTCTGTAGAGGAGACTGCTACACACAACAGAACTTCACCGTGGTGGTGGTGGTGGTCTCAACCCCGACACACCCCTACACAAACAGAGTTTCCCTGTGTAGCCCTGGCTGACCTACTCTGTAGACCAGGCTGGCTTCAAATTCATAGAGCTCCGCCTGCCTCTGCCCCCGGGGGCTGGGATTAAAGCCTCACATCACTGCTCGAACCCAGCGCCCAGCCTAGTGCCTCACTTCTTAAACAGAGTCTTGGAATTGAAACTTGTGTCCCCATGCTTGCATTCCAAGTGTCCTGCCCGGTTAGCTGTAGCCTCAGGCAGCCTCTGCTTCCCCAGGGGGAGATGAGGAGCTTGTATTTATTCAGCCCAAGGACTGGAGAAGGGCTTCATGCCTCCTTGGCAGGTGCTCTAGCCACTTCCCTCTGCCCACTCTCACACTCAGCTTTCTGTTTGTGTTATCTGGTTTTGTGGTTGCAAAGACCCAGCCCTTCTCCATCCTGCAGGGGTTGGATCAGCCTCCGAGATCAGAAACTTTTGCAGCTTCCCCTCCCTTCTCATCTCCAGGCAGCTCAGCTTAATGAGAGCTACTGGAACCCATCAGATTGTGACAGGAATGTTCTCATTTTTCCTAAGAGGCCAGTGCCAGTCTGGAGCCAAGCCCATTTTGGTGCCCTCTCTACATTTAAATAAAATTACACTTATCTGTTATGCGTGTGGGGGCCTGCAGGCAGGCGTGCTCACATCATGGCATGCACACAGAGGTCAGAGGCTAGAGGCTAACTTGGAGGAGTCAGGCCTTTCCCTTGCTGTATGGGGCCTGGGGATGGAGCTCAGCTCATTGGCCTGGGCAGCAAGAACCTCTGTCTGCCAGGCCATTTCTCCCCATCTCTGTATCCTAAATTCTGTCTGAAGGTTAATCCAAGTTCCATTTTTCTGTAACGGACAGAGCTGGCAGCTGCCAGACAGCAGAGACTTTCTCTTCCCTAAACAGGTCTATGCTCAGTCACCCTCAGTGACCCCCACTTGCCCATCAAACCTAAGTTAGGGGTGGATCCTTTAGGAGACCTGGCAGGGATGGGCTTCCCCCTGTAAAGCTGTGGAAAGGCTTCCCAGTGACTGTGGTCACATGGCTGTTCCCCTCGTCAGGCATCTAATACTCCCTTATCTGGCCTCCCACTTGCCCTACCAGACTTCCTATCAGAGACATGGTTTCCTGACGTTTCTTCATGCTTCTAATAGTTTTCTGTATTGAAATGATTAATTCTTGTGGAATTTGTGTGCCTCTGAGGCAAGGCAAGGTTAAATTTATTTTCTTCCACTCAGATATCAGGCATACTGACTTAAAGAGTTTTGCTTTATCTGTGGACTGAAAACTGTAGCTGAGGCTCACCCTCTGTTTAATAGGTAGTAGAGGCTGGCCCTCAGTTTACTATGTAGCTGAGGCAAGCCATGAACTCCAGAACTTCCTTGGGCACTTTCTTTTTTTTTTTTTTTTTTTTTTTTTTTTGACACAAGGTTTTGAGACAGGGTTTCTCTGTGTGTATCCCTGGCTATCCTGGACTTTCTTTGTAGACCAGGCTGGCCTTAAAATCACAGAGATCTGCCTGCCTCTCCTCCCAGAGTCTCAGGCCCCTTCTTAATGCTGGGTCACAAGTGTGTGACATTGGGCCAGCAGCTTTAAATTCTTGGTTTGGTTTTGTCTCCCTAATGGGCTTAAAACTTACTATGTAAATTAGGTTGGCCTGGAACTCACAGATGTCCACTGAGATTAACACTGTGTGCCACAGTGGCCTGCTCAAGGTTTTAACATGTTTAAAACATGCCCTTAATTCCAGCAGTCAGGAGGAGAGGCAGATAGATATCTGAGTTTGAGGCCAGCCTGGTCTATAAAGCTTCCAGGACAGCCAAGGCTACACAGAGAAACCCTGTGTCTTAAAACCTCTCCTCCAAATAAATAAATAAATATGTAAAAAGTTTTTAAAATATTTGTTTACTTTCATGTGTATGCGTGAGTACCTGGCTGTATATATGTTCACCATGTTCCTGCTTGGTGCCCTTAGAGGGAGGGAGAGGGTGTCCCATCTCCTGGAACTGGAGTTGCAGGCAAAGCTGTGGATTTAGCTGGGAGCTGAACTCCTCTGAACAGCGAGCGCTCTTAAACACTGCGCCATCTCTCCAGCCCCAAGTATTTAATTTTTTTTTCAGCCAGGGTATAGCTATGTAACCCAGGGTGGCCTCAACTCAAGGCAGTCCCCTGCCTCATCCTCTCAGGTGATGGGGTAGCAGTTGTAGGCCACCAAGCCCAGCCTTTAGGAGAAAGGTTGTTGGGGATCGAACCTAAGGCTTTACAGAAATCAGTCTACTAAGTGCTGTATCTCAAACAAAGGAACTGGGTACAGAACAAGCCTCCTCCGCTCCACTTGAGCCCAGCACAGAGGGAGCAGACACCACCCTACTAGGTCAGGTTGAGAGACAGAGGTTTGCCTCTGACCTTGACAAGGATGAGGTGACACTGCGGCTTCCATGAAGAGTGGCAGGGGTCGGGGTGAGCCCATGTGAGGGAGCCAAGTCAGGACTGTCTTGGCTTGAGGGTGTGATGTGTCGGTAGGGGCAAGTCTTTGTTTGTCCTCAAGATACTGTCCAGCTGGGAACAGAAGCGGCTTGTTGCCTCTGACCAATTTACTCCGTCCACAGCTAAATCTAGGTGATGTGTGACCAGCCAGTGTGAGGGCTGCTGGGGGCTTCCAGAAACACAGGGTTTCTTTGGGAGTTCTTGGCTTGGAGTTTTTAGCCCCACCTGTTTGCCGAAGCCTGTGGCTTAGGGGTCACCCAAGGCTTCCTTACAGTGAGCCGGAGGAGGGGAGGAGTCTAGGGACAGCTGATGAGAGAGCAGAGCCCAGCTGGGCGTGCGAGACTCTGAGGTAGCAGCTGCAGGTAGTAAGATTAATGTGAAGGTGCTCAGCTAGAACTCAATGCTTTGCACGTGTTAGGCAATAAGCCACACCCCCAGCCCTCACTGTGGGATTCTAGGCAGGGGCTGAACCAGTCACCCCACCCCCACCCCCACCCCTGTCTTTCACTAGGGAATTCTAGGGAGGGCCCCACCTCCAAGCCATGCCCCCGGGTGGTTTGGAGGTGGGTTTGAGTGTGTGTAGTGGTGATGAGGGGTATGGACAGGGGTATGGACTCTCACCATGCACACTGAATGTCCTCGTAGCATACACTTGCGATAGAGTGCACATCAGAGCGACCGTCTGCCTTGCTTCTGCAGTGTGCCTCCTGGCGGGGTGAGTGCCCTCATGGAAATGTACAACATACATAAATTGGTGTGTGTACACACATCCTTGCCAACCGTATAAAGCTACCCCCACTGTGCGTGCCGTCCTGACCCTTGCTGTTGACCCCTGCACTGACTGTCAGTTTGCAGCCTTAAGCCCTAGTGCCAGCCGCTTACCCCTGGCATCCTGTGGTGATCTCTGAGGCCAGGATTGATATTACCTGCTGCTTTTGTTCTGAGACCAAATCACTCTGTATCCCAGACTGGTCTTGAACTTGATCTCACTTCTGCTGTAGCCACATCTTTCTTGTTTTGACAAGACTGGAGAGGCTGACCTCTTAGGGTACCTATAAAGATGTGCAAATGGCCCCACCCGCCCGTTCACATACATACACATATGAGTAAACTATACATATATAACTATATACATAAATAAATAAATAGTCAGCCAGGCATGATGGCATGAGCCTTTCATCCCAGCACTTTGGAGGCCGAAACAGGTGTATCCTTGAGAGGTAGAGGCTACATAGTGAGACCCTGAATCAAAATAAAACAGTCAATAAATAAGAGGGCTTGAGAAATGGCTCAGTGGTTAAGAGCGCTGGCTGCTCTTGAAAAGGACCCGGCTTGGGTTTCCAGGGAACCTGATGCCTCTTCTGACTGATCTGATCCCAGCGCTGGGGAGGTGGAGGCGCAAGGATGAGTAGTTACACTCGGCTATACTCGGCTGAACCGTGAGTTGTATGCCAGCCTAAGCATCAGGTTAGGAGACTTTCTCAAACAAACGAATGGCCAGTCGACCGCTATTTTTATCCATTTATTTGAGTTTTAGCCCAAATGTTTCCATTTTGGTGGCTGCCAGTTTTCTCTTCCCGCTGTGCCTCAGTTTCCGTCTTGTGGGGTGGAATGGTCGGGGTGACATTTAAGGGTCGAGAAGTGTCCTCGGATGCATTACTTCGTGGGTGGGTGGGTGGGTGGAGGATGAGACCAGAGTCCCGAGGAGCCACCTCAGGCTCCCGGGTGGGGGCTGGGTGAAGTGGGGGCAGGGAGGGCTAAATCTGGCCGCCAGTGAGTGGCAGGAGCAGCTGCGGCCCCACCCGGCCCTGCCCCCTGGCCGGCCCCTCCCCTTGGTTCTCTGGCTGGGGCCTGTCTGACCGGTTTGGGCCGTCCCGCCAGCCACTCTGCCTGAGCAGCTGCTGCGGGTGGCTGCTGCGGCTGGGTCCGGGAGAGTGCGGGGCCGTCAGGGCGCCGTCCGGGCTGCCCCGTAGGAATGGGGAAGGATTCGCGGGATTACTACGGGAAGCACGGTACGCGGGCTCTCCTTGAGCTCCCCGGGGACAGCAGCGGGCACCTTGGACTGTCAGGGAAGGTTGCAAAAGGGATGCAGGAGGAACTGCCCTGAAATAGCAATTGCCTTTTGCCCCATGCTAGCTCCCATCACCCCAGTGGTTCCGACAGCTGACTCAGAAACCATTCCTCTGTCCTCTACCGAGGACCTGGTCCGCACACATCTCTAGGACACCTGTACCTCTCCGCAGCGGACTTTGCGTTCTTTTGCTCTGGTCCCTGTAAGCCCTTCCAGGCATTCTCCCTGGGTGACAGCAGGTTGATGAATCAGCTGGTCACCCCCATGGACAGTAGTCCCTGCTATGGTCTCCGATGACCTCGGAGCTTGGTTGTAGTCCCCTGTAAGTGAGCTGCAGATAGAACTCCGCGCTTTGTGGCTGAGGGGATCGGGGTCTCCAGTTTCTTCGGCTGTGTCATTTTCTCACCCATCCTACCTAATCCTGTTGACTTTCAGGGACGCCTCAGAAATACGACCCCACCTTCAAGGGACCCATTTACAACAGGTAGGAGCACTCCCTTCCTGGGACAGAGGGGAAAGCTGGGGGGACGGTCTTGCACGAAGCAGGATAGACCATTGCACTCTGATTCGAAAGCTAGTTTCCTTAAGGCCCTAGAATCCTCCCAGTGGAGTCTGAGTGGAACTGAGCCTCACACACCAGGCATCCATTGTGCATGTGTACATGGATTTTTTTTACACTTATGTGAGCACGCCTGCATGTGTGGGTGTGGTGTGCATTTGTCACTGTGCATGTGTTAGAGGACAACTTGCATGAGTTGATTTTCTCATGTGTTCCAAGGATCCACAACAGTTCGCCCCTGTCTCCTGAGCCATCATCCTAGCTCCCTTCTCTCCCGTGCTTCAGTAGCAAGCAAGGGTTCTACCACTGTGTGACATTTCTACCCTCATTTTTTGTTTGTTTCTTTGTTTGGTTAGTTTTGTGGGGTTTGTTTTGTTTTGTATTTTCAAAACAGGCTTTCTCTGTGTAGCTTTGGTTTTCCTGAACTCATTTTGTAGACCAGGCTGGGCTCTGACTCATAGCAATCACCTGCCTCTGCCTCCCTGAGTGCTGGGATTAAAGACGTGTGCCTTTAAAATTAAGCTTTAGACTTAATTTTATGTGTCTGAATATTTTGGCTGCCTGTGTTTATGTGTGCCACATGGGGGTGGGAGGGGGTATCGGAGCCTCTAGAACTTTTTGGATGTTTTGCCCACATTTATGTCTGTGGTCCGTTGCCTGCCTGGCTGGTATCAAAGAGGTTGGAATGGGGGTTGGATCCCCTTGGACTGGAGTTACAGAAGGTTGTGAGTCTCCAGGTAGATGCTAGGAATCAAACCCAGTGCTCTTATTTCGTGTGTGTGTGTGTGTGGGTGGGTGGGTGTTATATTTAGTTTTTTGTTTTTCAAGACAGAGTTTTTCTGTGTAGTCTTAGCCATTCTGGAACTCTCTCTAGACCAGTCTGCCCTCAAACTCAGAGATCCACCCACCTCTGCTTCCTGTGGCTGGGATTAAAGACGTACGCCAGCAGGGCCTGACTAGTTATTATTATTTACTGATTTTAGGTACATGAGTACTCTGTCTTTATGAACACCAGAAGAGGGCGTCAGATCCCACTGCAGATGGTTATGAGCCACCATGTGGTTGCTGGGAATTGAACTCAGGACCTCTGAAAGAGAGCTCTTAACTACTGACCCATCACTCCAGCTCCTAGTTACTATTTGTAAAATAATAATAATAATAATAATAATAATAATAATAATAATAATAATAATAAAGTTGAAGGTCTGCCTGAGTGACTTTCAGAGATCCTGTCTCAAAATCGTAGGTAGATTTTGTTTTATTTTATGTGTGTGTTTGCCTGCATGTATGTATGTATGTATGTATGTATGTATGTATGTATGTATGTACATCACATGCATGGACGCCCACTGAGGTCGGAAAAGGCCTTCAGATCCCCTGGAACTGGAGTGTAGGTACTGAGAATTGAACCTCCTCCTTTGGAAGAGCAGTAGGTGCTGTTTGTTTGTTTCGATTTTCTGAGACAGGGTACCTCTCCATGGTTCTGACTGACCTGGAATTCTCTCTGTAGACCAGGCTGGCTTTGGACTCAGACATCCACCTGCCTCTGCCTCCTGAGTGCCGGGACTAAAATCGTGTACCCGCCACTGCCACCATAAGCCTCCTGAAACGAATGCTTTTTACTGTTGAAGCACCTCAGATTTCTAATTTTTTTATTAATTTCTGTATTCTTTTTTCATGTCTGAGTGATCTGTCTGCATGCACACCTCTGTCATATCCCTGCATGATTGTCATGAAGCACCATGTGGATGCTAGGAATTGAACTCGGGTCCTCTGGAAGAGCAGCCAATGCTTTTAACTGCTGAGCCATCTCTCCAGCCCCAGTTTTTTGTTTTTCTAAAGCCAGGACTGGAGACAGCTGATAGAGTACCTACCTAGTAGGCAGGAAGCCCTGTCTTTAGCCCCAGCCCTGAGTAACTCACCAGGGATGATGAGGCAACCCAAGAGAGTGGAGGCAGGAGGATCAGGACTTCACAGTGAACTTGACTACATAGCAAGCTTGAGGGGAGTCTTGAGTGTGTGGGACCCTGTTTTAAATAAATAAAAAGCAAAGGGACAGTAAGGTGGCTCAGCAAGCAAGTAAGGACCATTGCCAGCAAGTCCGATGACCTGCATTCAATTCCTGGAGCCTGCATGATGGGGAGAGAAAACGGACCCCTCAAAGGCACGTGCATACAGTCACGATACACACAGAGGAATTTGTTCTTAAGTGCGTGGATCGAGAAGTGTGGCAATCGGGGACTGGAGAGATGGCTCAGCGACTGAGAGCGCTCGTCTGCTCATGGGGACAGGAGTTTGGCTCTCAGCTCCCACTTAGAGAGCCACATACCTCACAAATGCCTGTAGCTCCAGTGTACTCTTCTGGATCCTGCCTGTGCACAGACAATCGACATGCACGTAAGGCCAGAGAGATGGCTCAGTGGTTAAGAGTATTTGCTGCAATGTCAGTTTCTGGCCTTTGCATGAGGCACACGTGTGATGCAGACTCATGTGCAAGCAAATAAGTCTTAAGAAAAAAGATAAAAGCCAGGCAGTGGTGCACGCCTTTAATCCCAGCACTTGGAAGGCAGGGGCAGGAGAATCTCTGAGTTCGAGGCCAGCCTGGTCTACAGAGTGAGTCCCAGGACAGCCAAGACGACACAGAGACACCCAGCCTCAAAAAACAAAGCAAACAAAATGAAGGCGTATAGGCTCACATGCACTGATGCTTCTCTGCTCCCAGGGGCTGCACAGATGTCATTTGCTGCGTGTTCCTCTTCCTGGCCATCGTAGGCTACGTGGCCGTGGGCATCATAGGTAAATGCTGGAAGGGAGAGGGTCCTCGTGGGAGGGGCTGACACAGCCTCCCGGGTCAGGGTGCACTGTGGGTGAGGAGTGGCAGAGTTGATCTATCTCTGGTCCTCTCCACAGCCTGGACCCATGGAGACCCTCGGAAGGTGATCTACCCCACGGATAGCCGGGGCGAGTTCTGTGGGCAGAAGGGGACAAAAAATGCGTGAGTTTATTCATTTATTTGCGTTCGTGTACTTAAGCGGCCACACCCACGTGGAGGTCAGAGAATCGGTTTTCTCCCATCAGTGTGATTCTCGGGGATGGAGCTCAGGTTGGCAGGCCTGGTGGCAAGGGCCCTAACCCTTTGAGCCATCTCTGGGCCCAGTAGGTAAGAAGTCTCCACCAACTCTTTTCCTCCTCCTCCCACCCTAGGGACAAACCGTTCTTGTTTTACTTCAACATCGCGATGTGTGTTAGCCCCCTGGTCCTGCTGGAATTTCAGTGTCCCACTCCTCAGGTCAGTGTTCCACCTCTTCCCCTTGACGCTTCCCACGCTCTCTCGTGAGCATCAGGTGGGGCCTCTGTCCCGATGGGGTGTCAGTGCCCTGATCCGCACCTCCTTCCTTCCACCTCCCCAGATCTGCGTGCAGCAGTGCCCAGACCGCTTCCTCACCTTTCTGAATGCGCACAGCTCCCGTGAGCCTCGTGACTTTGAGTATTACAAGCAGTTCTGCATGCCCGGCTTCCGGAACAGCAAAGTGAGCAGGAAGACCCCTTTGGGACCCAGATAGGGGACACAGGAGGGTGTCCTCAGGGTTTCCCTTCTTCCCATTCTGTCTGCAGAGTGTGGCCGAGGTGCTTCGAGATGGGGAGTGTCCAGCGGTTATCATCCCCAGCAAACCTTGTGAGTCCCGGGGACCCCACAAGGGCCGGGCGCAGAGTGGGGGATCTGCAAGGACTCAGCCTGACAGCTGTCTTCCGGTCCCTCAGTCGCCCGGCGGTGCTTCCCGGCCATCCACGCCAGCAAAGGGGTCATCATGGTGGGCAATGAGACAACCTACGAGGATGGACACGGCACCAGGAAGAACATCACAGACCTAGTGGAGGGCGCCAAGTGAGAAGGCAGCCCTCTTGTGGAGGGCGCCTGTCTTGCCTGGGGTGGGACTGGAGCTGGGCTTCTCTGGGTATGACTTGAGTCTCTTCCACCCCTAGGAACGCCAACAGGGTTCTAGAGGCCCGGCAGCTCGCCATGCGGATTTTTGAAGATTTCACTGTATCTTGGTACTGGATTGTCATGTGAGTCGGGAGGAGGTTGTCCCCTAGCTACCACATTTGTGAGCCTAAGAATAGTGTCACTCATGCCCCTGTCTTATCCCCCAGAGGTTTGGTCATTGCCATGGTGCTGAGTCTCCTGTTCATCATCTTGCTGCGATACCTGGCAGGCATTATGGTCTGGGTGATGATTGTCATGGTGATCCTGGTACTTGGCTATGGTACGTCTTCCTCTCCCCCTCCTCTCTCCTGCCTAAGGTCTGCAAAGTGCCAATGCCTGTTGTCCCAGTGACAGCTTCTCAGAAACGTCCTCCTCAGCCTTCAGACGCTCTTCACTGTTAAACTGACACATTTGTGAAGAGGGTCACGCTGCTGTTGTCGGCACACTGAGGCAGCCAGAGCCCATGGAGCGGGGATGGGTGAACCGGGCAGGGCTAAGCGTATAAGTCAGGCACTTGCCTGTGGCCCTCCAGTGAGGTGCTGTGGCACTGTGGTAGACCCCTCCCCCGTGGGGGCCCCCAGCTCTGGCTCAGTGTCACCGTGCTAGCACATGCAAGGCCCTGAGGTCCATTCCTTCTACTGCAAAAACAGAAAAGAGAAACCCTACCTCTGGGCTTTGAGAGCCAGGGCGGGTTTGGTATTTTAATCAACCACCAAAGACGTTCTGAAGACGCCTGCTTACTCCAGTAGTAGGATTCTGTACCGTGGTGCCCGAGGTTCCTCGTTCAAGTCCCAGCTTTACTGCTTTCTAGCTCTGTCCTGGGGCACATGACCAAGCCTCCCAGTGCATAATGACTTCCACCACCTCCTGGGAATAATTGACAGCGTTTCCTAGCTGGAGTCTTAATGAGAAGGTAGTAATGTGAGGATAATATCAAGAGGAGGCCTGAGCAGGGCAGAGGCCTGCCTTGCACGCTAGTGGCTCCTGTTCTCATTAAGTTTTCTTCTGTGGATTTTTTCTTTCTTTCTTTTTTTTTTTTTTTTTTTTTTTTGAGACAGGGTTTCTCTGTGTAGCCCTACCCAACCTGAACTCTATCTGTAGACCAAGCTGTCCTTGAACTCAGAGTTCTACCTGCTTCTGCCTTCTGAGTGCTAGGATTAAATGTGTAAGGTACCACCACTCAGGTCTTCTTTGTTGTTTTTTGTTGTTTATTTTGGAGACAGGGTTTCTCTGTATGGTCTTGGCTGTCCTGGACTTGCTTTGTAGACAGGCTGGCCTTGAACTCACAGAGGTCCCCCTCCCAGAGTGCTGGGATCACAGGAGTGAGCCATTACAGCTGTCCTCCTTTTGTATTTTTATATTATGTTCATTTAGTGTGTGTGTCTGTGTGCATGCACATGTATGTGAACACGTGTGTGCATATGGAGGTCAGAGGACAAATACCAACAGTGCACAGTGGTTTTTTTCCTTTTTTTTTTTTTTTTTTTTTTTTTTGCTTTTTTAAGACAGGGTTTCTCTGTATAGCCTAGGCTGTCCTGGACCAGGCTGGCCTCGAACTCACAGAGCTCCACCTGCCTCTGCCTCCCTGAGGCTGGGATTACAGGCGCGTGCTGCTGCACCTGGCTGTTTTCTCTCCTTTTACTCTATGGGTACCAGGGATTGAACTCAGGTCATCAGGCTTGGCAGCAGGTGCCTTTATCCATTGAGCCGTTGTTGGCCCTTATTCTGATTTTCTTCCTTTTAAACTTCCTGAAAGGGTAAATGCTTGGAGCCTCAATCTGAGGGTCCAGATACTAAAATCTCAGTGTTAGAGTGGTGGTCAACACACCTGTCATCCTCAGTCAAGGGAGATGGAGTCAGGAGGATCATAGATTTGAATACAGATCCTGCCACATAGTAAGACCTTGTCTCAAAAAAGAAAAAGAAAAAAGCTGTTCATGTTAATCCTGGTTTGAGTTCTTGTTGGCAACTTAGGTGGCTTGACTGTTTTGGTTTTGGTTTTCAGACAAGGTCTCGGTGTGTAGTCCTGGCTTGCCTAGAACTGGCTATGTAGAGATCTGCCTTTTTCTGCCTCCCCAAGCACTGGCATTAAAGGGGTGTGCCACCATACCTGGCTGGCTGCAGGCAGGAGGCATCCTAATAGCCATTCATTCTCTCAGCCGTTTCTCAAGCAAGAGCCCAGTCTCTACAGCAAGTTCTAGGCCAGCCAGGGCCACATAGTATAGTGCCCTGTCTCAAAGACCAAACAGAAAGCTGCCATCTGGGCTTGTGACTCTGCAGGCATATTTCACTGCTACATGGAGTACTCTAGACTGAGGGGAGAGGCAGGCGCTGACATCTCCCTGGTGGACCTTGGCTTCCAGACAGACTTCCGAGTGTACCTGCACTTGCGGCAGACCTGGATGGCTTTCAGTGAGTTGGGGCACTGCCCCCGCCCCATGCTTGTATTACGAGAAACCTTGGAGGGATTGAGGTAGGACTTCCAAACAGCTTCCTCTCAGCTCTTCCGGCACTCACTGAACTGTGTGTTATTTTATGTTTAAATCGATTTTATTTCTCATTACTTTTAACTTTTGAAAATTCTCTATTATATTTCCTTGTTGAGTGGAGGCATCTTTGCCAAAGCCCTCCTGTGCGGAGGTCAGAGGAAGCCTCCGCTGATCAGTTCTCCACTGATCAGTTCTCACCTGTGGGCCCTGGGACTTGAACTAAGCTCCTCAGGGCTGGCTGCAGTTGTCTTTAGCTGATGAGCCAACCTCATGGCTGTTGCCTGCCGTTCTCCGCAGTGATCATTTTAAGCATCCTGGAAGCCATCATCATCCTGTTACTCATCTTTCTTCGCAAAAGGATATTGATCGCCATAGCCCTCATCAAAGAAGCCAGCAGGTGGAGCTTGGAGAGCCAGGGATGTGCCTGGGGTCTTCGCCTGGGGCGTTTGGCCCTGATTTCTGTCTCTGTTTCCCGCAGGGCTGTGGGACATGTCATGTGCTCTCTGCTCTACCCACTGGTGACTTTCTTCCTCCTGTGTCTCTGCATCGCCTACTGGTGCACCACCGCTGTGTATCCACTGCTCGGCAGTCTGTGGTCTCCAGCGACAAACGGTCCTAAAATGTCCAGCGGCTCAGGGTGGGGCTGTACCGCCGTGGGTTTGGCGGCCTTTCCCAAGAGCTGCCCTCCTTCCCATGGCTCTCTCCATTTTAAAAATTTCTATTACATTGGTATATTTTGGGTAAAGGGACAACAGTACTCAGAGGTCAAAGGACAACTTGCAGCGGTCTGTCCTCTCCCTCCGTGAGTGGGTCCTGGGTATCCAATTCAAGTCATTAGGCTTGGTGGCAAGCACTTTATCGGGTGAACGAGCCATCTCCCTGGCCCATTTTTGCCACTTTCAGGCAGAGCCCTACTCTGTGGTTTAGGCTTTCCAGGAACTCACTCTGTAGCCCAGGCTGGCCTCCAGTGCTCAGCAATCCTCCTACCTCAGCCTCCCAAGTCTTGGGAGTCCAAGGGTGAGCCACTACTCCTGAATTTCCCAAGTTCCTAGGCTTCTTAGTCCTAGATTTCAGTTTCCTTAATGAGCCTTCAGCTTCCTGTCTACCTCTAATGTAGCCGTGTACAAGATTTTTGATGACACACCCTGCCCGCTTTTGAGGAACACCTGCAACCCCGAGGTAGGCTTTCTATCAGTCTGAGGACAGGCATTGCCCGGGCCTCTCCCCTCGAAGATAAATTCCGAGAATGTTTTGTACTTGCTGTATATCTGGAGCTCTGTGGGGTGGCGGGGTGGGGCTTCCAAGCCATTGCTGGATTTGGTAGTTTTTCTGGACAAGGTTGGGGTGTCCCCAACCCTGCATGCTGAACTATGTATCTTTTCCGTCTATGATGTCACTTTTTGTTCCTCTGCCTTTTTCTTGACTTCTGATGCCTTTTTCTTGATGTCTTTCTGTGCGTGTGTGTGTGTGTGTGTGTGTGTGTGGTGTATGTATATATGTGTTTGTTCTCTGTATTTCTCAGCCTTATTCCTTTCAGGCAGTATCTCTCACTAAATCAGGAGCTCAGCTGGTACCTCCTGTCCCTATGGCACTGGGACTACAGGCTAGCACATGGCCACACCCAACTATTTATTGGAGTGTTGGAGGCTTGACTCACTGAAGTCCTCGTTCTTAAGTTCTCTTATCCCCTGAGCGATGTCTCCAGGCCACCCCCGACACCTTTCTCTGGAGTTTTGTAATGGGTAGTTTTGCACCTTGGAACTGCCCTTGGTCCAGCCTCAGCCTGCTCTGAACTTCTGACCCCATGTGGCTCCTTCCTCAGACCTTCCCCTCAGCGAATGAGAGTCGCCTGTGTCCCAATGCCCGCTGCCAGTTTGCCTTCTATGGTGGTGAGTCGGCCTACCACCGTTCCCTGCTGGGCCTGCAGATCTTCAATGCCTTCATGTTCTTCTGGCTGTCCAATTTCGTGCTGGCACTGGGCCAGGTGACATTGGCTGGAGCCTTTGCCTCCTATTACTGGGCTATTCGAAAGCCTGATGACATGCCTGCCTTCCCCCTCTTCTCTGCTTTTGGCCGAGCACTCAGGTAAAGGGGGTGGTTGGGGTGGGAAGGGAAGGGGTACAGGGACCTCACCTGGCTGGGCCACCGATCTCCCTTTTGATTCCAGGTACCACACAGGGTCCCTGGCCTTCGGCTCCCTTATCCTGGCCATTGTGCAGATCATCCGAGTGATTCTGGAGTACCTGGACCAGCGTCTAAAAGGTGTTGCCCTTTTTGTAGCCTCAGCTAGGGCCTGGACTTAGCCTGGGACTGGGCCTTGCTTGAAGGGTGAGGGCTCGAGCTAAGCCTCTGCGGGGTCTCTTTTGGTGGAAGAGGCGGAGCTAAGAGGAGGAGGAGGAGCAGGAGCAGGAGCAGTTAGAAGAGCCACCGGAAGCCAGGCCTGGTGGCTCACACCTTTAATCCAGTACTTTGGAGGCAGAGGCAGGCCTATCTCTTGAGAGTTCAGGGCCAGCCTGGTCTACAGAGTGAGTTCTAGGACAGCCAAGAAACCCAAAAAGTGCCAAAGAGCCCAAAGAGTCTGGCTGTTTAGGGGCAGGTCCAGGAAGAGTGGTGGGCCGTTGGCTCTGGCTAACCAGGCTGAGCTAAGAGTTTTTGGTTTTGTTTTTTGTTGTTTGTTTGTTTGTTTTTGGAGACAGGGTTTCTCTGTGTAGCCTTGGCTGTCCTGTACTTACTTTGTAGGCCAGGGTGGCCTCACAGAGATCCACCTGCCTCTGCCTCCCCAAGTGTTGGGATAACAGGCGTGCACCGCTGCAGCCAGCTAGTGTTTTGTCATTTGGGACAGCTTTTTACTGTGTAGTCCTGGCTGGCCTCAAACTCTGTAAACCCGACTGACCTAGAACTCACCAATCCACTTGCCTCTGTTTCTGAGTGCTCAGATTGAAGGTGTATATCACCACCCCCAGCTGTTTGGGTTTAAAAGGCTGACATCCAACTCACTAAATAGTCAAGGATGACCTTAGTCCTGGTCCTTGGAGAGTATTATTGTCCGTCCACACCTGGATTGATTGACTTACTTATTTTGAGGTAGTTTCACTAAGTTGTCCAGGTTGGCCTAGTAGCTGAGGCAAGCCTCAGACTTGTGATCCTTGGCTGTCTTGCTGGACTCTTCGGGGTCTCATCCAAAGCTGGCCAGTCTCTTCACGTCCCGACTGCATACCTTCCCTGTCTCTCAGCTGCACAGAACAAGTTTGCCAAGTTCCTCATGGTCTGTCTCAAGTGCTGCTTCTGGTGCCTGGAGAAGTTTATCAGATTCCTCAATAGGAATGCCTACATCATGGTGAGTGCTGCCGGGGGCGGGGGGGTCCCCCATGTCCCTCCCTCGGGGCCTCGAACATCCCAAACATCCTTCTCTTCATTCCAGATTGCCATCTATGGTACCAACTTTTGCACCTCGGCCAGGAATGCCTTCTTCCTGCTCATGAGAAATATCATCAGGTTAGGGGACACACCTCCAGCCTCCAGCCTCTCTACCTGTCCCATCTCACCTTAGTTCCCAGCTCCCTCCTGCCCTAACCCCCCTTTCTCAACCAGCCTTGCATTAGCCTGCCTCCCCTCCCAGCCTCCCTCCTCTCCCAGGCTCCGAGCCCACTGTCACACTCCTCCCTTCATTCTGCCCTACAGGGTGGCCGTCCTGGACAAAGTTACAGACTTCCTCTTCCTGTTGGGCAAACTTCTGATTGTGGGTAGTGTGGGTGAGTGGTGCCACCGGGCCTGTCCCTACTGGCCTTCGGGAGCCCATTGGGAGTGAACTATAAACCGGTGTCATGCTCAGGTCATCTTCTGCTGAGTCCTCGTTGGGGACTCAGCCTCTGGCTTCATCCCACCTTAGGCATCCTGGCCTTTTTCTTCTTCACCCATCGGATCAGAATCGTGCAAGATTCGGCCCCACCTCTCAATTATTACTGGGTCCCCATACTGGTAAGGACCTTCGGGGACAGATCAGGGTCTGGGTAGAAGCAGGGGGAGGTGGGGGCAGAGATTTGCTTAATTCCTTTGGTGAAAGTTTGAGGTGGGACAGTCATTGGTTATTCAGTCCCTAAACGTTTACTGAACACCTACTGCATGCAAGGCACAGGGATGAAGTGACTTTCCTTAAGGGCTGCTATGGTTATTACTAGCATTTGTTTGTTTTGTTTGTGTGGGTGGGTGCACTTGTGGGAAGTCAGAGGACAACTGTGGGAGTTGGTTCTCTTCTTCAGCTGGCTTGGTGGTAAGTACCTTCATCTACCTCCACCAAGCCATCTTTCCAGCAATACTACTACTACTAATAATAATAGGTCTTATTATTACTTTTACTATTATTATAGAAAACTTTTGTTTTGTTATTTATTTAGGGTGTTTTGTTTTGTTTGTTTTTGGAGACAGGGTTTTTCTGGGTAGCCTTGGCTGTCCTGGAACTTGCTCTGTACACCAGGCTGGCTTCGAACTCACAGAGATCCACTTACCTCTGTCTCCAAGTGCTAGGATTAAAGGCACATGCCAATGTGGCCCCACTCTTCTCTTGTTTTTTTTTTTTTTTTTTGAGACAAGGTCTCCACATAACTCTGGCTGACCCGGAGCTCACTATGTAGAACAGGCTGTCCTCAAACTCAGTGTTTTTGCTTCTTATTTTGAGACAGAGTCTCTCTATGTAGCTTGGCTAACTTGAAACTGGCTATGTAGACCAAGCTGGCCTCAAACTCATAGAAATCTGCCTGCCTCAGCCTCTTACGTGCTGAAATTAAAGGTGTGGACCTTTAATTTTAAGATTCATTTACTTTTGTTTTACGTGTTTTGGTGTTTTGCTTACATGTATGTCTGTGTACCACATGCATGCATGATACTCATGGTGACTAAAAGAGGACATCAAATCCTCTAGACACGGGATTACAAGTGGTTGTGAACGGCCATGTGGGTCTTGAGACTTGACCCCAGGTCCTCTGGAAGAGCAGCCGATACTCATCTGCTGAGGCAGAGTGCTCCCCGTCTCGCCTTTTTTCCTTGACTAAGTTAGGGCCCTACTGTGGCACCCTGGCCTGGAACTCACAGAGATCTGCTGAGGCTGGCAGAGAACTTTTGATCTTTTTGCCCCATCAAACCAAATTTTGTCACCCAAGGCAAGGCCTCACAGATGTGTAGGGACATTATCCAGCGATGACACTGATGCACACCTCTGTGGTCCCAACACTCGGGAAGTACAGGCAGAAGAAGCAGAAATTCAAGGTCACCCTTACTATGTATAGTGAGTTCAAGGCCAGGACTGGTTACAGAAGACCCCATCTCAAGCAAAGGAAGGAACAAAGCTGGCAGGGATAGCGCACTCTAGTGGTGGCTCTCTTTATTTCCTGGTAGGGTCTCCTGCTGGACCAGGGCTCACAGGTTCGGGTAGTGTAGGTAGCCAACTGGCCCTGGGGGCCTGCAGTCATCCTCGTGAGTGCTGGGATTGCGGGTGGACTGCCGCACTCATAGGACATTTGCTTGGGTGCTGGGCTCGGGTCCTCAGGTTTGCACAGCAGGTGTTTTCTCCACGGACCATCTCTTACATGCCCAGGTAGTGTCTGAACTTGCTGTGCAGCGCAGGCTGGCCTCAGGATCTGGCTCTCCTTGCACTTGAACCTCCAAAGTGCTGAGATTATAGGCATGTACCCCCTGGAATGTGAGCTCCACCTTCATAATGCCCCAAATATGCATAAAATTGCACCTGGCTAAAGCCTCAGGGGACATATTAAGTGCTAGGACAGTGTGAAGCATGCTCAGGCTAGACAGAAGACAGTGCTGTCTATACCTGATGACTTGCTGTTAGAATTGAAAGCAAAAGGTGAGTGAGCTATAAGCTAAACAGCATGAACGAAGACCCTGAGGTTGGAAAAAGCAAGGAGCATTGTATAGCTGATTGGTTTCTCCTAGCTGAGGTGTGGAAGGTCAAACATGGAGGTTCAATCCTGTCATCCCAGCTCGTGGGAGGCAGAGCCAGGAGGATCAGGAGTTCAGGATCATCCTTGGCTACTTAGTATTTTGAGGCCAGACTGAGACATGTGAGACTATCTCAAAACAAACAAACAAAAACACACCAAAAACCAGCCAACCAACCAACCAACCAAAAATATATAACCCCCCTCCCCCCAACCAACCAACCAAAAAACTATTCCAGAGAAGGCAAATTGGACTGGGTATGATGGCTCATGCTGAGGCAAGGGAGATCATGAGTTCACGCCAGCCTGGGTGCGCGCGTGCGCACGCGCACACACACACACACACACACACACACACACGCGCGCGCGCACGCCATGGTGGTGCCCATCTGTAACTCCAGTATTGTGCAGAGCTTCAGAGCACACTGGCCAAACATTCTAGCCAATCACTGAGCAGCAGTTTATCTTTAAAAACTAAGGTGAAGGTCCAGCAAGGTGAGTCAGAAACTTGCCAAGCCTGAAGACATGAATTCCATCCCTTAGACCCACATCGTGGGTGAAGAGAATCAACTACCAAAAGTTTTCTCCTGACCTCCACTAGCGCACTGTAGGTGTGTGTGCACATTCCGTGAAATGTTTTATATACATTAAGACAAACATTTCAGCTAAGGTGGAGAGGGAGGCATGAGCTGGTGACCTGGCCTCCACACACACCAGCTACCACAGAGGACTCAGCTGTGGGACTTTTCCCTGTAATCTCGACACTCAAGAGGCTGAGGCTGAAGGCTAGTGAGGTGGCTCTGCAGCAACTGCATTGGGCTGCATGTGAGTCCGGCTCCGGGTGCTCCGAGGTCCTTTTCTGACCTTCTTGGGCCAGTGCACTCAAGTGCCTGTGTACATATGTGTAATCAAAAATCTTCCTCACTGAGGAAAAGATGGACTCGTTCTAGCCACATCAACATGATCATTTTTTTTTTTTTTTTAATTTTGAGACAGGGTCTCACTATGCAACCCTGGCTGCCTTGGAACTCTGTGTAGACTAGGGTGGTCTTGAACTCACAGAGATCCACCTGCCTCTGCCTTCCAAGTGCTAGGATTAAAGGCACGCACCACTACATCTGAAGCTGAAAAATAAATGTTTTTAGGGGCTGGAGAGATAGCTTGGTAGTTTATTGCACTGTTGTTCTTGCAAAAGATGGGTTCAGTCCCAGGATCCGCATGGTGGTTCACAGCCATTCATAACTCTAATCCCAGGTTATCTGGCATTCATTGGTATCAGGCACACATACAAACATGCAGGCAAAACATTCACATGTTTTTTGAGACATGGTTTCTCTGTGTAGCCTTGGCTCTCTTGGACTTAGCTTTGTAGATCAGGCTGGCCTCAAACTCAGAAAGATCCACCTGCCTCTGCTTCCCTGAATGTGCTGGGATTACAGGCCTGTGCCACTATGCCTGGCTCATAAATCTTTTTTCAAAAGGTTATTTAAAGATGAGGTGGGAAGATTGCCATGAATGGGGAAACCACAGGCAGCTTCTCGGCTCATGGAGTGAGAGGTTTCCCAGCCTGGGGAGGGCAGAGTGATGGGGCAGGGTTCTGCCTCAGAGCCAGGCTGGAACAGATGTCTTCTCTTAAACAGACAGTGATCATCGGCTCCTACTTGATCGCACATGGCTTCTTCAGCGTCTATGGCATGTGTGTGGACACGCTGTTCCTCTGTTTCTGTGAGTGACCCCTTTATCTCACCCCACCAGGGGCCCCGACTCCCTCTCCCGCTGGACAAGGAAATACCACCCCCACCCAGAGCTCCCTGGGCTCTGGATGTCCCTTCTACTGGGCCTGTGCATACCTTTCCAGCTTTCTCACCGTGCTCCACGCAGACACCCTTACCCTCCTGTCCTGGAGCTGAGGCCGGACCACGCTGACCCCTGGGTCTTCGGCTTTGGAATTTCTGGCTTTGTTGGGGATTAGAGCGGGATCCACGGCTGCCACTAACTCTGGTCTCCACGTGTCTTTTCTCTTTCCCCTGCCTTTTCTTCTCCCCGTGCCTGCTGGCTTCTTTTCTGTTTTTTTCCTCTGTCTCCCTTTTCCACCCCCCTCCTTTCCTGACCACCCCATTTCTACCCCCTGCTGGTTCCTGGGGGGCCCAGGTGAGGACCTTGAGAGGAATGACGGCTCTCAGGAGCGACCCTACTTCATGTCGCCCGAGCTGAGAGACATCCTATTGAAGGGGAATTCGCAGGCGGGCGAGCAGGAGGAAGTTGAGAAGTAGAAAGTGAGGGAGACTGGCAAGCTGGCATGCGGTGCATGTGGTGGCGCTGTGACGGGAATGTGTGGCTCCTGTAGTCCTTTCCTACCCCTCTCTTTCCCAAGACAAGGCAGGGGCTCTCCCGCTGAGCCAAGCTCCCATCTCTCACTGGAGGGTTCTAGACAAGCGCTCTATCCCTGAACTATGCCCCTAGCCTTGTTTACTTTTTACTTGGGGACAATGCCTCCCTCAGTTGCCCAGGCCGGCCTTGGGCTTACTGTAGTGAAAGCAGGTCTTAAGCGTGGGGTTGTTCTGTCTCAGCCTCTTAAGCGCCTTGGGTAACAGGCCTTTGCTGTCACACCTGCTCTCTGTGTGTTGCTTTCTAACGCCTCCCCCACCCCGTCCCGTCTCCTCAGTAGCCTTCTGTCCCCTTCCCTGTGCCCGATCCTGACCCCTGCCTCCTGACTCCCTCTTATGTTACCTGCTTTGGGGCTCTGTCCACAGTGGAGGATCTCGAGAGAAATGACGGCTCAGCTGAGCGGCCTTACTTCATGTCTTCCACTCTCAAGAAACTCTTGAATAAAACCAACAAGAAAGTAGCAGAATCTTAAAGCCGTCTGCCTCCTGCCCCTCTCAGGAAGCTGTGATCGGGTGCTTGCTGTGCGGCGGGGTCAGAGTCCCCAGCTCAGCGGACTTGCCTAACGGCACATCACTGCCTCTCTGCCACCCTCCCTGAGTTCCTATCTCCAGGGACCTACAAGATTTGGGGCATCCCTTTCCTATGCCAAAGGGCGCTTGGGAGTTTTCAGTGCAGCCCTGGAAGCTGGGACAGAATGGGTCTCTCCAGTCCTCACTGGCTCTGACGGTGCCAATTTGGTGAAGTAACTTGAGTCAAGGGTGGGAGGCGACCCAAGGATGTCTACAGCGAGCTTCTTTGTACTTCCTGTACCCCCTCCAGCCAAGAGGAAGAGGCTGGATGAGAGACCCTCTGCAGACGGGCTCAGTGAGCCCAGCTCCAAGCTCCCCTGCCCGCTCCAACCGGGACAGAGTTGGATCTTTGTGGCAGGCTCAGCCCAAGAGCCAACAACTACGTTCTCGCTCTTACTACGTTTTAACCTGGACATGCAGTGAGCGGGTCTATCTGCTTTGTTCAGTCAGGCTCCACAGCTGCATGGAGCCGCTGAGAGTGCCTTCATCTGTGGCCCCACCTCCAGCCTGGGCTGGCTGGGTCACAGGAAGGAGTGTGCACGGGAGGAGTCTTCTGGAAGAAGCAGGGCCCTGTGCGAGGAGTGAGGATGGCAGTGGCTGGGAGTGGCTGTGGGGAACAGGCCTCTCTGGTTAGATCCTGCAGCGTGGCTTTGGCTGATGGCTTCTTAATGGAAAACTTGAGGCTTCCCGTCCAAGCTGGAAAATGAATGAGAACAGGGCCTGCCTCCCCGCCCCTTTCTCTGCCAGTAATCCACACTGCTGTCTTTGTAAGAGGAAAGAAACTTAAGTTCACCCAAGGGATGGTTTCAGGGGATGAGGTATGGGTGTGTTATGGATTCCAAGCTAACTAGGCCTGTCCTGTTCTGTCACCTGACACGCTAGAGAATCTCTTTGCCAAACGTTTTGAACTTGGGAGCCAATAGACTGGCTCCTCACTTTACCTGTCAAGCTAAGACCCTCCCCTCAGTCCTCCTTTGCCTACCAGGAAGATACCAGGATCTTGAAAACTGAGGCTACCAACGTGGGGTCTGTGGTTTCCTGTGCCTTCCCTGTGTGTGCCACCCCGCCCCACCCTCCTCTTGTACGCCCAGCCCCATGCTTACATAATTGCATTCCAACCGTTTAATAAAGTGCCTCTTGTACAGACCCTGGCTTGGCGTGTTTGCAATGGGAACGTGGGAAGCTCCTGGAAGTAATGGCGTTCAGTGCCCTGGGCATCTCCGAGCTGTGGCAGTTTTCTCAAAGAGGGATAGAGCCAGCCTTGACCTCACCTCCAAAGCTTGCCCTGCAGCTTGTTGGGCCTGTCCTGTAGGCCCCTAGTGAACAAAAGCTTCAGAGTGGGAACTCACCCCTGAGTCCAGAACAGCCAGTTCTCTCTCCTTCCACTCAGTAACTGCCTTGGACAGACCCTGCCCCTGGATCTTGGAGTGGAGGATTGCTACTTTTAGTTCAGTTTGCTTTTTAATGTGTGTGTGTGTGTGTGTCGGGGTAAGTATTCCATGTGAACACAGTTTCCCATGGACCCGAAAAGGGCATTGGAGCCTCTGGTGCTGGTCTTACTGTCACGAGCCACAGTGTGGGGGCTGGAAATCAATTTGTTCCTCTGCAAGAGCTGGATATATTTATTGTTTTTTGTTTTTGTCTCATGCATCCGTGCCTTTTGTGTGGATGTATGTCTGTGCACTATACCTTGTCTCCTTGGTCTCAGGGACTAGAAGAGGGCTTTGAGTCCTCTGGAATTACACAGTTGTGACCACTAAAAATAGTTGAGTATTTTTTTTTGTCCTTTTTCTTTTTTTGAGACAGGGTTTCTCTGTGTAGCCTTGGCTGTCCTGGCCTCACTTTGTAGACCAGGCTGGCCACCTCACCCAGCTGTTGTTATTTTTTTTGGTTGTGAGCCTAGCCTTTAATGGCTGAGCCATCTCTCTAGCCCAGCTGTTGTTATTTTTAAAGCTGGAAGCTGAGAGGGTTTGGGGCTGAAGAGATGGTTCAGTTGTTAAGAGCAATGGCTGCTCTTCCAAAGGACCTGAGTTTAATTCCCAGCAACCACATGGCACCTACACATTAAAAATAGAAAAAAAAAAAACATAATAAAATAAAAGTACAGGTCTAGAGAGGTGGCCCAGAGGTTCTGAGTGTATTCTGCTCTTAAGAGGGCACAGGTTTCAGCATCCTTATCAGGCAGCTCACAACCTCCTGTGACTTCAGCTCCAGGGACTCTGACACCATTGGTCTTGGAGACTTACACTCACATGCACATATTCACAGCCAGACACAAGTCATCTTAAGAAACAGTAAATATTCTAAAGTATTTTTCATTAAAAAAAAAAAAAAAAAAAAAGCTAGGCCTGGAGAGCTGGCGCAGAGATTAAGAGCACCGGCTGCTCTTCCAGAAGACCTGGGTTCAGTTCCCAGCATCCAAATAGCAACTTACAATTGCCTGTAACTCTAGATTCAGGGCACCTGACACTCTCACACAGACATTCATGCAGGTAAAACACCAAAACACATTAAAAAAAACAAAACAACAAGAACTATTTTAGCCGGGTGGTGGTGGTAGACACCTTTTAATCCCAGCACTTGGGAGGCAGAGGCAGGAAGATCTCTGTGTGTTTGAGGCCAGCCTGGTCTACAAAGTGAGCCCAGGACAGCTAGGGGCACACAAAGAAAGAAACCGTGTCTCAAAAACCCAAAAAAGGAAACAAACCTATGTTATGCTATGGGTGTTCTGTCTACCTGTGATGTCTCTGTACCAAGTGCACATTTGTTGTCTGCAGAGGTCAGAAGAGGGCATTCTATCCCCCGGAACTGGAGTTCCAGACGGTTGTGAGTGACCATGCGGGTGCTGGAAATTGAACCAAGGTCCTCTGAAAGAAGAGCCAGTGCTCTTAACCACCGGACCATCTCTCTAGCACCTTATGTATATTCCTTTTGTTGTTTTTTGAGACAGGGTTTCTCTGTAGCCTTGACTGTCCTGAACCTGCTTTGTAGACCAGGCTGGTCTCAAAACCTCAGAGATCCACCTGCTTCTGCCTCCTGAGCGATCGGATTGCAGGAGTGTGCCACCATGCCGGACTCGTATTCTGTTAGTGTACATGTGTGTGTGAATTCAGGCAAGAATGTGCTAGCGTGTGCTTGTCCCCATCCCGGGAATGAACTCAGGTCCGCAGGTTTGGTGGCAAGTGCTTTCTCAGCTGCTAAGCCAGCTTTGTTTCTGAGTGGTTCTACCTTAGGGTTAGTCTGGCTGTCCGACTGCAGGCGCACTACTGCCCCCTGGTGCATGATTTTGTTATTGCTTCTAGCCAATTCTGGAAAATCTCAATCTATCAACACTTTATCCAGACATCCATCCACACCCCGTCTCTCTCCTTTTTGGTACAAAGTATTGTATTGAACAGGACTTTTGCACATACCAGGCAAGGGCATTGCCACTTAGTCACATCCCCATCCCCAACCCTGTTCTTTTTTTTTTTTTTTTTTTTTTTTTTGAGACAGTGTGTGTCTCTTATAGCCCAGGATGGCTTCTGCCTCAGTATATGTAGCAGAAAATAACCTTGACCTTCTGACTGTCCTGCCTCCATCTCTCCAGCGGTGGGATATCAGACCTGTGCCATTGCACTGGGTTTATGTGATGCTGGGGCTAAAACCCTGGCTTTGTGGATTCTGGGCAAGCTCTCTGCCAAGGGACACATCGTCAGCCCCTCCTTTTTGAGAATTTCATTAGTTTTAACTTTATTTTTATGATCTTTTAAACTTTTTGTATTTAAGATTACGTATGTGCTTGTGTGTACATGTGAGTAGGAGGTCATGAGAGAGTGGGGTTGGATCCCCAGGAAACGTAGTTTCAGATAATTGTGAGCCCCCACGTGGGCAGGAAATAAACACAGGTCCTCCAAGAAAGCAGAGCGCACTTGTAAGCATGGAGACATCGCTCCAGCCTGCCCTCTCCCCTTTTAAAAGCAATATCAAGACAGCGTCTTACCGTAAAAACGAGGCTGGCCTCCAACTCAGAAAGACCCACCTGCCCCTGCCTTCTGATCCTAGAATTAAATGTGTATACCAATACTTCCAGCTCTTTAATTCTTTTTTTTTTCTTTTGAGATAAAGTCTACATATGTATCCCAAGTTGGCCTTGACCCTACAATCCTGGCTCAGGCTTTCTCGTAGATGGTATCACAGGCACACTCCATCTCCCCGGCTTTAGTCTTGGGAGGAAAGCTCTAGTAGCCAGCTGGTTGCCTGGGGAACATGGGTGGCTTCAAAGAAGGATCCTGTGTCTGATGTGTTTCCTTGTTCCATTAGCAAGCAGCACTCTTGGGAGCAGAGGCAGGTGAAGAAGCGAGGTGTGACGCCGGGGGGCGGGTAGCAGTGACAAACAGAGGGGCATCCAGCGAGAGATGGGAATCCCAAGGGGTTGCGCCCCCTCTCCCTTCTCGGTGGCGGGGAGGGAAGACAGGGTCTCCATTATGTTAGCCACTGTGGCATTTGTGACTCCGCTGCAGAAAGAAGGTCAGGTTTATGATGAAGACGAATTGGAGAGTTTTTTCAAAGTGGTTAAGGAAAATTTTTTTTCCAGCAGGGTGCAGCGGAGCACACCTGTAATCCCAGCACTCAGGGAGGCAGAGGTAAGCAGATTCTGTGAGTTCAAGGCCAGCCTGATCTACAAAGCAAGTCTAGGACAGCCAGGACTACAGAGAGAAATCCTGTCTTGAAACAAACAAAAAAAAAAAAAAAAAAAAAAAAACCAATGACTTCAGGAGGCCGCAGTGGCTGCTCCCTCAAATCCCAGCTTAGGCGAGACAGCCAACCTGCAGCCCCAGCCTGCTTTAATTAGGCAGTCATAGATTTGGGCCTTGCTCCTCACGAGTCCCAGGTTTAACATGAGTACTAAGATTAAAGGTACGCACCACCACACCTGGCTAATTTTGACTTTGGTGAGTTTCATTAGTTTTGTGTGTTTGACTTTTTGTGTGTGTGACTTTTTGCCTGTGTTTCAGGAACCATTCTGAAATAAGCACTCCGACCCCAATGAGCATGGAAGAGAGGAGCGGTCACTGGTGGCCCGGAGCCAGGATGCTCCTGAAAGGCTGCCATCCTGTCCAGTTTGTCTCATTTTAGACTGTAGAAGCACAAGATGGGGCAGGCCCCGGAGCAGGAGCAGGATTTTACAGAGGCCTACAGCAGTCAGCAGGTTGTTCAGGATAACGACCGAGTGTTAGTTATTTCCAGATGGCTTTGCTCCAGGTAGCTTTAACTAGACCACTAAGTGAAGCAGTAAATCGGTATCTAATGGTTTGTCCTTTCTGCCTTATTCGACTTTGTTCCCTCCACTCAACCTTCATAACGCCTCCTGAGTCTACCCTGAGGGCACGGGTTGGTGTTTCTGGGTGCCGTCGGCAGTGTATCCCATCGGCTTGCTTTCGAACCTCTGGCCTGAATCCTCTTTAATAACTTTTTGGCATTGTTTTCACACTGTTCTTGACCGAGTAGCATAAAAACAGCATTTCTCAGTAAAACCTACATGCCTTCCTTCCCAGGAGTAACCAAGCCTAATCTTCTCCGGTTTTGGAGAACCATTGCTGCCTGCTGCTGCTGCCTTTATCTGATCCTGAAGAGTGCTTTCCTGAACACTAGTTAAGCTTTGCTTGACCTGAGTAGAGTCAGTTAAGTTGAACTTGTTCTTTTCCCAGCATCGGTGGCCGTGGGCTCTGCCAGGGCCATTCCTGGCAGGACTGGTAAAATACAAGAGTTTTCTTGACGCTAAGGGAGGTAAGTGCTGCTGGACCTCACTTCCCGGAAGCACGTCCAGTCTGGGGGGCTGGAGAGACAGCTCGGAGGTTAAGGGCACTGGCTGGTCTTCTGAAGGACCCTGGTTCAATTCCCAACAAACACATGGTGGCTCATAACCATGTATAATGAGATTTAATGCCCTCTTCTGGCGCGTAGGCATACATGCAAGCAGAATCCTGTATAAATAATAAGTCGGGCTTGATGCACGTCTGTAATCCCAGAACTCTGGGAGGCAGAGGCAGGTGGATCTCTGTGAGTTCAAGGCCAGCCTGGTCTACAAAGTGAGTCCAGGACAGCCAAGGATACACAGAGAAACCTTGAACTAGAAGGAAAGAAAGAAAGAAAGAAAGAAAGAA